ATCAGTGATCTAGTACCCATAGTACAAGCGTTGCTTAGTTTGGGACTAGAGAACGTTGTGTAAAAATGTGCCCTAAAAATATTATTATATAAAAAAATATTGCATGTGCATATTACAAAAATATCAACAGTCTGTTGAAAAAAGTTTTAAAAAAGGTTAACTAATTAATTACCCTTATTTATGTCGATCAAGTAGTTTATACAAGTGAAATCCGCCAATCACATTTATAACCCATTCCCAAAATTAGTGGTCATTTATTGAAATTTACGTTCCCTGAACTATCTTCTGTATAGGGAACGGTGGCAAACATAGAGGTGGTTCATCCGACAGTAACTGATTGTAGCTCATCATAGGATACGCATTAAGTATATATATTAAGTATAAATATACGTATAAACATACGCATTAAGTAAGTATAAATATACGTGCTTTAATACATTCTTCCTGGTCTTCTGTGAAGCTGTGCTTGTTGCCAGAGCTTGTTTCGAGCTGGGGCATTTTACAGAGCAGAACATTTTTTATAGTGGTAGAACTAAGGCCAACTAACTGCCTCAATCCTACCACTATAAAAGAAAAAATATTAACTATATACATAGACTTCGGTTGATATGGTTCGAATGTCTTCTCCGGAGAAATATAAATATAAATAAATAACCCCCGTAGCGTACATGTGGTAGAGCCACGCAAAAGTCTTCGCGAAGTACCACTTCCCCGGACTTTACAGAAGATCGGCGTCAAGCGGGAGTGTTACACTTCTGCCTCTCTTCCGGTGAATGAGGTAGTCGGGGCCCACTTTATTAAAAGGCAGCGACGCATGTGTAAACCTGCGGGGTGTAACAAATGGGGGACGATCATCACTTAAAGTCAGGTGAACCGCCGCCTCGTTTGCCACCTTTTCACATAAAAAAATGTATAAGAGATTTTTAGGGAAGCACAAATATAATTTGGAATTCTAAATCTAGCTGCGAGGTCGGTGGAAACTTGCGGGGCTTATTCCACACCGTGAAGAATGAAAAGTACGTTTCAACATAAACGAAATGCGGTCGAAAGTTTTGAAGGCTTCCCGCTCTTTGTGCCCGCGAACAATGAAAAGTGTAACAGTTACGTTATGTACTTTTGTTTATAGATATACCCTGTTACTGGGCCTCCATTTTTAGGGTTCCGTACCCAAAGGGTAAACCGGGACCCTATCACTAAACTCCACTGTTTGTCTGTCTATTTGTACATCTGTCACCAGGCTGCATCTCATGAACCGTGATAGTTTGACAGTTGAAATCTTCACAGATAATGTATTTTTGTTGCCGCTATAACAACAAGTACTAAAAACCAGAATAAAAAAAATTAAGTGACAGAACAAGTACAACAGAAATGATTTTTTGCCGTTTCCATAGATACTGGTTCGGAACCCTTCGTGCGCGAGTCCCACTCGCACTTGGCCGGTTTTTGATATTGCGAATACGACTATCTTAACGGCTTTATTTCTGTTCGTTATTCGATAATTGAAATCTTCGCTACTCGATATCAGCCGTTCTGTTATTCGGTTTTCTTTTTTAATTAAAATAATATTTAATGAAACAGATACGTTGCCATGTCAAAGTTATTTGACGTGATATTTTGTGAATCGTATTAATTTTTTTTTTTTTAAATAATACAATCTTTATTGATCTAATATTTACAAGATTAAATCTATCTAAAATTACATATTATCTAATAAACCTAATCCACGCGGCATGGTGCCAAGAACGCTAGCTGCATTTCCTCGCTGAATAGTTATGCTTAACCTTTGCGCGAGAAAAGAACCAGCTCTCTTGTCACCAGCCGCGGCGTTAAGCCTAGGACATAAACTTTTAAAAAAAATTGATGTGCGGGGACCCCACGGACCTAATGTTTTCAACAGCAAATGGCACAAATACATAATCTGAACATAAAGACTCATATTTGCGCCATTTACTTACTTCAGCTGCCTCCGATGCCGCCCCGGCCCTGACCGAAGTACCCCTTAGATGAGAGGCAGCCAAAGTGTCTACACAAGTGGCGTCCCAAACAAGGGCTTTGCCTCTCTCCCAAGGGATCAATGTTAAACCGTCGGGTCTCTTACCATCGTCGCGTAAAATGCCACAGGGCTCTAAAATAGATGGAACATTGATGGAAACAAGAGCCCTACGGATGATGTCGTTCAGGGAACCGTGGCGAGAAAAACGGCCAGCACTTTTTTTTGACAAGAAAGCCCGTGGAGACCAAATTTGTCTACACTGACACCACAAGGGCATTGGTGTGGTTTACAAATCGGTGCCCCCAGACGGATTCCTACAGCAATGCGTAAGCTTTCATCGTCAAGTAATGTGCCCAAGTTACTTGATGGTAAAGCGTGAAGCCAATAACTCGATTTATGAGATGAGACTCCTAGGAAACGGGCACGCTCTAAATTACTTTCTAAAGATTGAAACGTATCTCTCTGTACTCTCCGCACCAAAGGAACATCCCACTGTTTTTGTAGGTTTACTTCCAGTGGGATATTTTCGTTGGGGCAGATAGACAGCCAAGACATCCTTGCCTCCTCTGCATAGGAAAGTTCTGAATCGTGATTAAGGATGTTATTACATAAATTATTTACGCTATGCACGGAAGCAAGGAAGGCAGGTAGAGCGACACTAGAAATTTTCCTTACACCGATACCACCAAAACGAATTGGCAGCGTAGCTTGAGTCCAGCTTAATTCATTAAGAGATAAATTTAGAATTTTTTCTAGAGCTGATTTAAGATGGAAATCAATTTCGTTCAAAAAGTCACCGCATTTCCAAACTGGACTCGAGCGAATGAGGTACGTAAATTTAGGTACAAGAATACAATGTCGCAAAATAGTAAGCGCAATATGCGAATTTAGTAAAAATAATTTATTGACATGATCTAAAAATTGACTTAACTTTAATTTTAAATGAGGTTCCAAACTTGGTATCAACAAAGGAGCACCTAAGAGGTAAAGTGAATCTGAACGGACTACGTTAATTCCCGGTATGATAGAGCTAAAATTTTGGGTCAAAATGATTTTGTCGGAAAAAGAAATCTTTTCGGAAAAAAAAAAAAGTTCGCATTTGGAATTATTTAAATCGAGACCGATATTTTTTAAATTGTCTAATAATTTCAATAAGATCACTTTGTACATCGTCAACTTTACCTCCCAGAGTACCATCGTCTAGGTACCAGACATTAAGTTTAGATTTCAATTTTGAAATAATTGGATTAATTCCCAAACTAAATAATGCTGGTCCTAGCGGATCTCCCTGCTGAACGCCGACAGCAGAACCAATAATATTGTCTTCATAAAATAAATTACTCTTTTCAGTGTAACATTGCCAAACATAATGATATATTTCTGGTGTATGGTTAGCCACTTCGTTTAGCAGAGTCGTTCTATCCTAATGGAGTTAAAAGCATTCCTTAGGTCAACCTTCAGAAGTACATCCAAATCACTAGTATTTAAAGAAGTTCGAACGGAATGTACAGCCGCTTCACAGCCGCCTTTGCTTCCAAAGCCTAGTTGAATAGGCTGGAATTTTCTTTTAAGGCCGGAGATTATGTGCCTACATGCTAATTTGAAGTTAAGCGTCGAAAGGTAGAACCAATAGCAATAGGACGGATACCATTATCTTTTTTTTAAAGGCACATAATCTTGCCCCGTATAAGAAAGGAACAAATTTAGGATTTACTTTTCCGGAAAGCATTAAGTTGCATAATTTGGCAATATCATTAAGAAGCGCTCTGCCAGCATCACCGGCGGAAACGCCTCGAAAGTGTCTTTATCGGTAATTTGCAAAGCCTGATATGAAGAATCGGGAGGCAGCGGTAGGAGCGGCGGAAGATTGATCGATGGATGCTTTTGTCGGAGGTTTTCTAGAGTCTCATCATTATACGGAGCAAGGATGTCGTCTGAAAATAAAATGCGCGATGCATTTTTTAAATCACCATCCATAACTTTAGTCTCTACAGTTCTCTTTAAATCGAATTTACGGGGGGGTTTAGTTATAGATGAGGCAGTCTTTAATTCAACATTTTTGAATGAATTGCTCTTTAACTGCGAAGTAATTGATTTTGATACCGATTTATCAAAGTGAAAATGGGAATACGCAAAGGTAAATAAATTATGCCAACTAGATTCAGTATTTGAGAAACAATTTTGAATACAGGTTGATAATGAATTGGCAAGCTGCATCCTTGCACCTCTTGGAATCCTTTTGAGTATTGGTACATTGTTATGGTAATAATAGATCTGTTCCGAAAACAACTTTAAATTTTTGTCATTATAATCGCCAATAGTCTTATTACAAAATGCGGTAGGCTGTGAAGCTGCAACAGGGTGACTATGACAACGTTTGATGTGAATATTTAAGCCTCTTTTACCTTTAAAAAGCCTACCATCGGAACAATTTTGACATGGTAGGAAATCCGTTTGAGAGCATGTACGTACATCGTCATTCATAATATTAAAAATCACCCTTGAAAAATTAAAATAAGGTCACTAAAAGTCACTAAAAGGCTCGACGAGGAAGCCTCGCGACGACCACCATTGGCTCTTAACACGGCAGCGAGGCGTGGACGTGGAAGCTGAAAACAAATACAAATACATATCTGGGGCGACAAATTAGGTTAAAATATGAGAATTATTACAGTACTCCCCAGGTTTTATTGCAAAATCCAAGACAACATATTTTCAAGCGTTTGACAGCTGACGTTCCTGACTTCGATCGCAAAGAATTTGTTTTCGTTGGCCGCAAAAATATACTGAAATGCAAAATTTATTTCTTAAATCGGAGTCTTTGAGATTTTAAAACTGAACAGTTAAAAACAGTTAAAAAATCTAAGCATACATAAGGACCGACAGTGGGACGACTTTGTTTTATACTATGTAGTGACGATGCCACGGACACACACAAAAACACTATCACGCTGAAAATTAAGAACTCATATGACGCCTTCTTCTTCCGTCTGTCCTGATCCCGTTATTTGGGGTCGGGTTTCCTCACTTTTCTTTTAGGGACAGACAGAAAGCGGGATGACTTTGTTTTGGGGGGGGGGGGGGGGGGGGGGGGGGGGGGGGGGGGGGGGGGGGGGGGGGGGGGGGGGGGGGGGGGGGGGGGGGGGGGGGGGGGGGGGGGGGGGGGGGGGGGGGGGGGGGGGGGGGGGGGGGGGGGGGGGGGGGGGGGGGGGGGGGGGGGGGGGGGGGGGGGGGGAGGGGGGGGGGGGGGGGGGGGGGGGGGGGGGGGGGGGGGGGGGGGGGGGGGGGGGGGGGGGGGGGGGGGGGGGGGGGGGGGGGGGGGGAGTAAGAGGGGGGGGGGGGGGGGGGGGGGGGGGGGGGGGGGGGGGGGGGGGGGGGGGGGGGGGGGGGGGGGGGGGGGGGGGGGGGGGGGGGGGGGGGGGGGGGGGGAGGGGGAGGGGGGGGGGGGGGGGGGGGGGGGGGGGAAGGGGGGGGGGGGGGGGGGGGGGGGGGGGGGGGAGGGGGGGGGGGGGGGGGGGGGGGGGGGGGGGGGGGGGGGGGGGGGGGGGGGGGGGGGGGGGGGGGGGGGGGGGGGGGGGGGGGGGGGGGGGGGGGGGGGGGGGGGGGGGGGGGGGGGGGGGGGGAGGGGGGGGGGGGGGGGGGGGGGGGGGGGGGGGGGGGGGGGGGGGGGGGGGGGGGGGGGGGGGGGGGGGGGGGGGGGGGGGGGGGGCTTGAATGTGTGGAGGTGGAGTGGAAGTTATATAAGCTATAGTTTGCGCTCGAATTAAAGGATCCATTTGAGAAATAGAAGTGAAATGTTTAATAATAACGTCAGGAGAAATGGAAGAACCATAAATACTAGTTGAATTAGCGACACCGAAAGAGTTTAGAAATTTCCACACATCCGCTGGTGAAGAGTTATTTATATGATTGTGGATATATCGGCGTTTAGCAGCACGCACCATCTGATTGCACCTATTTCTGACATGTTTAAAAGCTGTCCAGTTTTCTTCGGTACGATTAAGTTTAAATCGTGAGAAAGCCCTATTACGCCTAGCCATTGCCTTACGCACAATTATAAGGAAATATACACCGGTTTGTTGTGTACACAGGGTATTTTTGAAAATCTGATACATTTTTGTAACTTATATCTATGCTATTTATGCAGTTTATATAATATGTGAGATTAAAGTATATTAAATAGGTACTTATGATTCGTCACTTGAAAGGCAAAATTACTTAACCGGCAAATAAATGTTAGGCGTTATTATAATTAATGCAATCGCTAAACTCCGATACTACCACAATGCTCACGTGGATGCATTATTTCATAAAAGTTTTCATGCTATCGCTTTCATTGACGCAACCAGATGGACCTGCAGCATACCAACTTCTATACCATCATAATTTGCAGGAAGGTTTTCTTACCCACGTCCTGCAAACAAAAGGACGTGAATTGAAAGTATGATTAGTTTGCAATTTGTGTTTATAAAAGGTCGATACAACGCAGGATAATGTTAAGGTAATAAAACCTTTTGAATCATTTTTTTTTAAATTGTACCCGAAAAAGGCTTATGAGTCATTCGTCCTGATTAACTAATATGATAGCCGTGGAGGTTTCATACGTCGGCACAGACTACCGATTCCACTTCGTACATTTTTCATTAGCACATCACGTTGTGGGTAAACACGTCGCGGTTAAACGTCCGCTTCGTGTGTTATGCACTGGTCTTCCGGACCTCCGTCGAACAATACCGGGTTGGGTGTCTGCTTTCGTATCGTAATTAAATATTAATGGATCCATTGTACCCATTTAACTGGACAACAGCGGGGTACGAATCCAATAACAGAGCTTACAATTGTATGCGAAATATGTTCGTAACGGTTTAACATAGGGAAAACAGGTACAAAGTGGTTGAGATATTATTATAGGAAAACTAGCTGATCCGAAAAACGTTGTTTTGCCATAATTTTTCAGAAAAATAAAATAAAATAAAAAATTATTTGTTATAAATACCTACTGAATATACATATAAAATTTCATCAAAATCGGTCAAGCCGTTTCGGAGGAATATAAACACTAAAACTGCAACACAAGAATTTTATATATAAGGTTGTGTATGAAATGACATCTACACGGCTACAAAGCAACAGAGTGGTAGAAAGAGAACATCATCATATTTCAATTTAGTTACTCGGTGACAATAAGGGAAAATGTCTCCCGCTTGGTTTGGTGGCTAGAGTGTCAGGACGCGTAATCCGGAAGGTCCAGGTTCGCATCCTGGCAGCGAAAAATCTTGCGACAATTTTATATACACATTCCTACACCGTACACTTTCTAGGTACGGAGACCAGCACTTAAATAAAAAAAATAAATTTCAATAGCAAAGGTGACTCCTGTAGTTTTGAAATGTCCATGGTAGAAATTAATGTGATTTGAGAAAGTGTGATTACTGTAAAATAATCAAATAATATAATAAGCATTACTCTATATGCAATAAAAATATAGTACAGTCGTCGAGAATTTCACGCGGTGAGAATGTCGACCGCTTAGGTACGTGGCTAGAGCGTATGGACGGGTAATCCGAAGGCACCGGTTCGAATACCGGTAGCTGGGAAAAATTTTGCTACAGTTTTATCTACAAGTCACATGTTAAGTGCAGAGATTATACTAACATTAGACTAGACGCGATGCGTCTCTGGAACTCTTTAGCTCATAATGTCCGTGCCAGTCCATCATCGAACGTTTTCAAGAAAAGAGCAAAGGAGTTTTATTTGTCCACATAAAGTATTTTTCTTCTTATAGTTGTATATTTTGTTTTCTATCTTTATTTAATGTATAGTACCCGGAGTACCCGGTTTGTTTTTTTTTGGTAAATCGTGTATTTTGGATTACATTTAGACACAAATTACTGAGTAATGAAATATGCATAATGTTTTTCGATCTTACCGACGTAATAATAAGAAAATATGAACTGATGTTTTTCACAAAAGAAAGAACTTTAAAAAAAAGGGAAAAAAAAACAAAAGTAACAAATCGACAAAAAATTAAAAATAAAGAAAGCAATGATCTGGAATCGAAAAAAAAGTAAAACAATAAATGTGTAAATGATCGTGACGCGAACCACGGCCGTCTGTTTTGGGGCCGCCCGATTACCAACCGAGCTATTATGACATTTACTCTTGCGGCGAAATTTACCGTCATATTCGAATTATATTTTTCATTCCCTGAAAACAGGGATAAAACGACATTTTCTAAAAATGAAACCTAGTCAGATCGATTTTTCGCCCCCGAATCTACGCACATACTAAATTTCATGAAAATCGCCGTTACCGAGATTCCGATTATATATATATATATATACAAGAATTGCTCGTTTAAAGGATAAGATTAAGTGTATGTTATGTATTGTGTATATATGTTTATATATATATTTATGTATTTATATTAATATATATGTATATATATTTATGTATGGTATGTTAAAGAAATATCACTAAACACATTTCCAGCTACCTTCAATCAAATATTTTTCTCACCAGGTTAGCTAGCAGAGAACTCATGCATTGAGTTAAGCTTACCTTTTGTACATTACTTATATTTTTAATATTTTTTTGGATCCTGTGTTTTGTGTACAATAAATATATGAATAAATAAACATTTAAAACTAAAATCTATTATTCATTTAGAAATAACGTACAACCAACTAATATGAATGAAGCATCCTAGGAGTAAACTAAAGGTACATCTTATAGTATTACAAAGCCAAAACTTGAATGATTTACTAGAATTCTTTAATAAGATTGAATTTACCATAGTTTATTTATTTATTTAAATGGTTCACCAACTTACTTTCAAATATCACGTTGAACATTAAAAAGATGAAACATTAAAACATAGTAAATTACATATGTGACGTTTCAAATAAAAGCTTGAGAAATACTTTTTGTTTTTATTTTATACCTACTTAAACATTTAGGAGTTCATTTAATCTCAAGACATCACGTCAAGTGTAGTAAACATTTTTTTAAGCAATCTACAAAATGCACATAGGCTCCATGTCATATTATCAAAACAAGAACGAAATTTACCATTTAATCTAATAGCACCATTACTTTTATAACAATAAAAAAGATTCCGCCGATTAAGAACCTCCGCCTTTTTAGAAGTCGGTTAAAAAGTGGAACTTTACGTTAAGTTTCCTTATTTTTTTTGTTTCACAGACATGAGGTTGACTGTGCCCGGCTGCGTGAACGATCCCCGCGCCATGCCCTACTTCCGCTTGCTGGTGGTCACCACCGCCATGGCGGTCTACTTGGCTATGGGTAAGGACGCTCTTACAACGATATTAAGTACATATATAATGCTACTTACAAAGTATGCTACACAAGTAAACACTGACTAAAAATATTGACAGAAGTTTTCGTATTAATGGGAGTATAAACCATACGGTAGTAGGGCCTACGCAGCAGCCATCGTCCATTCCACCAACAACGTCACATCCCTCGACAAGATATTTAGTCCAAACAAGAAACTAAAGGTCTTTGACCGAAGGTCTTTGGACTTTCTACGTGCGACCAAGAGAGGTCGTTTCAATCCTGGCATCGTGACGCCACGCGAGCACTAATTGTTTTTTCTCCGTTTTTTGGCATCAAACTATAATGCTTTTCATCCAGTAAATGATAATCACTCAAAAATTCTGCCTAAACGTAACATAAAACCTCATTAGACTTAAAAAAAATCAGACTGTTATTTTAAAACAAAAAAATAAAATTATTATTCTGCACTAAATGTTACTTGCAATATATTTGTGTTCTAACGAATTGTCTCATGTAATATCTACTAGTGTAATAGCGATAAGAATTTTTGATGAATTTCATGAATGAGAACATATTACGGCTTTTGGCGTATAACGTTATTAAATGGTGGAACGGTCAATTATGAAAACGACAATAACGAGTTGGATTCGCAGGGGACATGAAGGGTTCCGTACCACAATCTATGAAAACGACAAAAAAATCATGTCTGTTGTATAGAAGCCCCACTTAAACAGTTTTTTTTCTATTTTTTGTTATAGCGGCAGAACAGAAATACATCGTCTGTGGAAATTTCAACTGTCACGGTTCATGAGATACAGCGTGGTGACAGACGGTGAGACTGACAGCGGAGTCTTTGTAATAGGGCCCTTTCTTATCTTGGGTACGGAACCCTAAAAATAATATGGAGTAACAGTATGATAGTATTAATTAATGCTTCCATTTGAGAGCATTTGATTAATTATATATCGTTTTAATTGAATCCATGAAGAGAATAAACATTGCATTTGTTTTCTTACAAAAACAAATGCAATTAGCTCAATTTGTGTATAATGTATTGTTAAATTAAATTACTAAACATTAATTTATTTTATCACGTCAAATTTATGTTTTAATTCCAGAATCCGTCTGAAATAACGTTCTTCGCGCGATCTTTTTCGGAGAGCTCTTTGAATACTTTGAGAGCTTTTAAATCTCGCTAACACCTTTAATCGTTTTGCTATGAGATTTATTTTTTTCAGCGAGCTGTTTGTTCAGCATAATACGAATACTTGAGCTATAAATAACGGCCACATTTTTCCATAAATATCTTTATATCTAATAGGACTTCAGAAATATATTGTTAAAAAAGGTAGCTGTGATAAGATTCTATTAATATAAAATTTGTATTAAGTTAAATTAAATATGTATTTTTATAACTGTGACTATCACGTACTGAGCGGTGAAGGTAACATCTATACGTACGAATCGAAATAATAACAAAAAAAATATTCGGAATATATGCAAAGTCCGTCAATCCGCAGTGGGGTCGCGTGATGTAATTCGAATTGAATAACGCCCCCAGCCACCGATTAGCTAAAAATACAGTCGACGGCCATCGGGGTCCCGGTCCGAACCGCAACCTTTACCTTTACCTTGCCATTAGATGAAAAAAAAAATATTTAAACGCACGCATGAGCACATGCGCAGCCCTACCCACAAAAGGAGGGCCCAAACCCATAGGTTCTGGCTTTACATAGATTCATTTTGAATTGTAGTTAATTGACAAATATTGATCGTTATTATATATCAATTAACTTATCATTAAACAACGTGCTACCTTAGAAATCCTGCCGGTTTGGACCATAGCACCCCTTGTGTGAGCGTCACAATATGATTTTGGCCAAAAAGTATGGTCAGGTTTTGAATAAAAATAAGTCGGGTATCGAGAGAATTAATGATTTATTCCTCGTTCAAACTACCCACGATAATTTGAACAAAGGTCGTGCCATTTCGGATATATCGTTGATTAAAAATAAACTGGCCCTATACATACACTGAGAGTATACTCAGTTTTCCGCCCACGTAAAACTGCCTGACAAAATTTCAATAGCAAAGTTTACCGATCGCTGCGTAGGTGGCATTAATTTTGCAGGCGCTTTGAGCTTTTTAAAATGGTAAGGTAAAATAGAGTAATTAATGTTTTATACAATGATAATGTGAAAATGCTTTTAAAATCAATTTAATTAAGTTACCTAACTAGTATTTATGTGACAACAGGACGTCAGTTTGAGGACATCGACATTTATTTATTTTTTATGGAGAAAAGGGGCAAACGAGCAGGAGCCTCACCTGATGGTAAGTGATTACCACCGCCCACGAACACCTGCAACACCCAATCACATTTCTTCTAAATATTATTTAGAAGAAATGTGATTTGATAAGCAAAAACGACGACTATTTCACAATTTTTTTTAAGAGCAGAAAAGTTATTAAAAAAAATCAAAACATTTCTGCTAGAAAAAATTTTAGATTCTTTTAAAATAACATTAACTTTATGCAATTTATACGATAAATACGTTGTTACTCAATTGACTCATAACAACCGTTGTCGACCGCAGGAGCGTCGGTGTTCCAGGCAACCGAGGGACCACTGGAACGTGAGACCGAGGAGAGAATTGCGAAGGTGACGATGGACTTTCTGAACAACCATCCCTGTGTCTCGGGTAAGCTTCCGGCGCACCGACATCTGCTATAGCAACACCAAAATATACACCTCAAGTCTATGCGAACGCCCGAAGAGAATACTCATAATAATGCGTTCTGTATGCGTTTACAAGACACACAGTTTCTTCATTTTCAGGGTTTTGTACCCAAAGGGAAATACGGTGCCCTATTCTGGGGCCCTAGTCTGTCCGTCTGTCTGACTGTATCTCATGAACCGTAGTTAGACAGTACTAACGCACGCATGAGCATATGCGCGGCCCTACCCACTGTGGAGGATCTCTAACGTGGCTTCTCGCTAGCCCACCGGTTCTGCGTTCGATGAAACTGTAATTGTTTCGGGACTGAATGCGTTAACATGAGTTAATGCAAGTTAGACAGTTGAAATTTGTCACAGATGATGTATGTCTGTTACCGCTACAAACTACCAAAAAGCAGAAATAAAAAATATTTGATTGGGGCTGCCATACAACAGACATACAGATGGCCGTATAAAATTACCCGTCTTGCGCAAGGCCAACTCGCACTTGGCCGTTTTTTTTACCGCTCCGCGGGGACCGTAAAAGGTTATGTCGCACCGACTAAAACCCTCATGATGAACCTAGGATGTCGATGTTGTGGTATTGAAACGCCTTTTTTTATGTGAGTAAGTGGCAAACGAACCGGCGGTTCATGTGGACATTTGTATCAAACGTAGGTTTGCAGATGCGTTAACGCAGCAATGTATAAGCTGAGAAAAATTTTATGAATTCAACACTCACTTGTGCATATTACAAACAAAAAATAAAATACAAGTTTACAGAAACGAAAATATTTTTTTTAATAAGTGACAGATAAATTAAAACCACAATGCAAATGTATATATAACAAATTATGCCTTCACGAAAGGCAAATTTATTGTGGACATCACACTAAGCATGGCCTGTATAGTGATTTCCAACCCTACATGATTCCCAAAATCGCTGGTCGCACATGAAATAAAATTATATCCGATAGATACTTGTGTTAACAGTTTGCACCAGTGTCAGATATAAGAGCTAAATATTTATAATATTTCTATTCATTTTTATTATGCTTCAATGGTGCAATGATTGGGTCCGGTGACGTATAATACAAGTGAGAAAACATATGAGTACAATAGGTTGAATGGTTCGGGGAAAGAAATAATTGCCTGTTATTATTTGAACCTGGGTTGTTGCTTCAAGAAACGTGTCGCCAACTGATCTTCTGGCCATTAAGCTACAAATTATAATGTGTAAACATTTCATAGATCCTATTTACAAACAATATTTATAGTAATTTTTATTTAAGAGATGCAAGAGACACGAATTACCCTATGACTAACGCCTAATGACATTTGTTTAGTATTGTCTAATATAGTAAGTACCTACACATTTGCGCCTTTACGTTAATTAGTGTAAAGACCAGTTGTTATTTTCCTTTATCATGTTAGTAGTTTCGGATTTTTGTTTCAAATTATTGTTAACAGAAATAGTTTCTTACGGTTATTTCATAACATTTTTTATTTCATTTTTTTTTTAAACTTAGCCCTTACTTTAGGATAACATTATCCTGTGTTGTTAGGACATTTTACAAACATAAATTACACGCGGACAAACACCCAAATGCGAAACAATTATCTGTGGATCACACAAATAGTTTTCCCGTGTGGGAATCGAACCCACGACCCCCGACGCCGAAGCCAATACCTTGGCAACTGCGCCACGGAGTCATTTAAACAATCATCAACAACAATCATCATCATGTGTTATTTTATAAGGTTTTTTTAGACGTTACCCCAGTTAGCAGTAATCAATTAGCATCAAACGTAAAAGTTTAGCGAAAAAAGCTATGTACACATATATCTTTGTATATTTTCTTGTTTAATAAATTAAAAAAACGGATCAATACGTCATCTTAAAATATTAGTCATTATATATATGATCGCTCCAGATTCTTTCGTATACTTTATTACTACTAGCCATTGACTTATAGTTGTTTACTAAATTTTCTTGCCAAATAATGGTAAAAAAATTATCCCGCAATGTTTCTTTCACCGGTTCTTCCCAAGTCAGCGTCTTTTTATTTCCGAACCCGGTAGTACTATTTTGACAATCAATAAGTAAGTGTAATGCATCTAAATTGAATAAAGATATTTGAATATGTGTATAATTATGTTTTTACCGTTTATTTATACTCAGATTATTAACCCTGGGCGGCGTACATAGAATTACTTATGTGGCGAATAATAAATCAGATCCAATGAAATAGGTTTCCACAACTGTTAAGTAGATCAACAATGTTATCGCAGAAAAATGTTAGATTTATTAATTAGGCCCCGGACACACTAAGCGTTTTAACGCGAGTTTTAAGCGCCATATAAGCAAAGCGTTGGAATTTATAGTTCTTGGCAATAGATATTGCACATCGACCTTTGGAAAGAGACAACCGTCTAAATTTGGTTCTATAGAGCATTATAACAAAAAAAAAATATTTCGAAGATATGTGAAGTCTATCGGCAGGAGGTCGCTAGGTGGACTATGGCCTACGGCCTTTGCCCAGCTGTGGGACATATATAAGCTGACACTATACTTTACTATGTAGATTGTAGATATAAACAAATAACAGCTATTTAGATTTAGAACACGTAAATCGTGAAAGACACGTAAATCTCATACAACGTCATGTAAACCGACAAAGTTGTATGAGATTTCGAACGTACGTGTCTTCCCGTAGATATTCCCTTATATCTTAGATGTTTTAAACAACATAAAAGAAGATAAAAGAAAAAAATAAGAATTAAATAAAATTTTATTTTAAAAATCAGAACATACGGATATTACTAAGTTAAAATAAATTTTACAGAAAAACTAAAACGCCCTACACAATAATAAAAGATTCACATCGACAACTGAGTAAACATGATTATTGCAAATATATTATTATTACATTTACTGTACATTTCACTACCACACCAACAAAGTATGAATTAATTGTCTTAACAGATATTTACTTCAAATTCAATTTTAATAGCCGCTAATAATAATAAAAAGATCACAATCTTCATTCAATCAATCCATATCAGCATTTTCGAGAACGCAATAATAGCTAAATTAATAATTAGTAGCTACCGTTTTAAACAACCTTTTAAAAAAAAAGTCGTAAAGAAAACAAAGTTGTTCCTACAAAATGACTTTATAAGTATTATGAGACAAAACTTTTCTTTTAAATAAAAAGCAGACTAAACTTTATCTTAACTAGTAAACATTGCATGTCTGCACTTGTTTGTCTGTACGATTGTCGGTTAAACATTGAAGATAAACGCACAGTCATAACGCGCCTTTGTTGATAGACTTTTATCAAGTACCGTCGCCCTACTTGAGTGAGCAGTCGTTAGACAGATTCCGAGCAGACCACTCGTCTTCCTACCCCCATCGCCATTCCGCTTTTCATCCGTTGGCAATTTGAACGATGCATCAAAATGTCGCGTCCTGTGCTCCACACCCGTAGCGAGGCAGTTGAAGCGTCAGAGTTATTCTTCGAGCCGAATCATCCGAAGAGGTTCTTCAAATACAGTTGACCGTGGCCCCAGCCCGTTTCGGGATCCACGCGCCCAGACCTCGTAACGGACCCCTGACTAGTTTATCGCCGATGAACTGTTAAACTAATGAGCGTTGTTACCGAGTGATTTGTTTTAAGATCGTGTGTGTATTCGACGAATTTACGTGTACTCTGTAGATAATCACCGCTATTTGTAACCTCAGAAACATTTTCCGTTTTGTCTCCGGAGTTGCTTCGACCGATTCTGTTTTGTGAACACATTGCGAGAAGGTGATCGCGGGTGTTGAAAATGGAGAAGCCAAAGTACACTCGCGTGCAGTCTTACGGGAGCATGAGCTCCGCGCGGAGCGAGGATGACATGACTGTACACAGTCAGCTGTTCCCCTACCCAAAGAAGATGGTGGTGGAGCGCGAGATTTTGTACGAGGAGGAGAACCCCCCCTTCCAGCCGCTCTTCGCCACTTCCAGAATATTCGGCAAGGCCAGGTTCACGTGCTTGATGGCGCTGTACCTGTGCTTCTACGTGCTGTTCTTAGTGGCCGGCGCTATCGTCTTCTCTTCGCTGGAAGCGCCATACGAGAACCAAATACGGCTGGACGTTATACGCGCGAAACAAGAATTCATGTCAAGATACCCCAGCGTGCTAGGTATGTAGTGGACTTTAATATTAAATATGGTACGATAGAGAAGTAAAGCAAAATCACAAAAATCGGGCACAGAGCAACCCGACTCCATGTGGTCTCGTGGTAGGGGTAGCCCAGAGTGATTATTATTATTTATTAATTCGTTACTTAGTTTTTTCTATTGTTAATTTTTTTTGGTATATCGATATTTAATTAGTTAGTTAGTTATCAGATGGTTACAACCTATTACAAAAATTTATTTTTATTTAAATAGAGAACAATCATACGTTCCCAAACATTGATAACGATGAAGTAATCTACGCGATTGTTGTTATTGTCAATACGGCCTCATTTTAATGAAATTCCGCCGTATCGATATATGCCTTGAATATGATAAAGTGTAAACCGATGCTATAATCTACGTTTACGTTTACGTATCCGTGCTTCGGGTAATACGTTGTTAATTACTTTAAATATGTCAACACAACGGTCAAAGGAATAAGACATTAGTTGATAACGATTGCTAAAGAACGATGCAACATTGAAATTAATTTCTTGCTTAGAAATTGCAGGGCAGGAGAAAGAAAGGAAGAAAGGGTGCCTATGTATAGTATTTGAACTTTAAATGCGAGTTTAAAAATTATTACTGCGACTTTAATAATTGTCGAAATATTTTCCGAGGAAGGTTTTGTAATCTGACAAAAATCGCCTAAAGTTTTATATAAATAATAAACATATATAAATATTTTGTGGATATATTTTTACATATCGTTATCTCGTGCCAAACTAAACAAAGCTGGTAAGTACAAGATAACTGATAAACTCATTAAAACATACTTTTCTTTTGTAAATATATACACGTTTTATCTAAAATATACACACACATTTTGAACACACATATAGAGGAAAACTTTTTAAAATTGTATTAGACATTTACATTCTTTAAACATGAATAAAAAAATATTTAAAACCCGTTATTTTCACTAAGAAAGTCCTCCATTTTGTTATTGACAACATGTTAGATATAAAGCTACTAAAAGATTTTTTGTTAAAAATACATACATATTAGAAGTCGCACACTTTTCCAAATGGTAATGTCGCGTTAATAAAAAACACTGACGCTTCTTCTTCTTTGGTTTAATTATCACATTGTAACATTTAAAAACTTTCATATTAAATCAAAAACACGTCTTGTCCACACTTTAAACAAACAAAACTTTTTACAAGAACACCACGACGACACAAAAAAATTGAAAAGTACTGAACGATCTGATTGAGATTCTAATAAAATTTTATAAAAAGAAATAAAATATAAATTACAATACGTACATAATTCACTAGTGCTAGTAGACGCGCACATATTATCCACCATTACAAATACAAATATTAAAGAGAAAATTGAAAAGAGCGGGAAATACTTATCTTTTTAAATTTAATATATGATTAGGTACTCAAATATCAATACAGCCAATATGCTAATATCGATTTCGGAACTCGATTAAAAATTTTATAATTTTTTTTTAATCAGTAGTATAAATTAATTTCAAGTCTATTTAACACAAATTGATAGGTTTTTTCGTAATTGCATATTATCTAATTAAGATTAATAGTCATTTTTTCTTTAATTTTTTTTATAAATAATATAAACCTTCACCTTTAATAAATATTCACCTTTCATAAATGTTAATTTTTTGTTTAATGTAAAAAAAATATTCATATTTCTGGCCGTGGAAGAGTCAAATTTAATTATGAATTAATAATTATTATTTAATTATTAAATTTGACTCTTCCACGTGCTTCGCCAGAACACTCGCTATGTCGCCCCTGAGTGTCGCGACGCGAGGTTCTGGCTCCGCCTTTTTATTTTCACTCTAGGGGTAGGGACCACAAGACCACAGTAATCCGAAAGTAAGTTTAACTTTTAGAAAATTTTACAATTGGAATTGCCCTGTAAAATTTGAATTTTATTGAAATTGTACATCTTTTGGCGCGTTTGCAAAAATTATGATGGTATTAAATTATTATTTTATTATAATTTTTAAGGTGAGCGCACACCAACAGCCAAAAAGAAGTTGGTTGCAAAGCTAATTTACGGTGTTACCATGGCAACTAATGACAACTTTTCATATTTACCTATAAGTCCAATTTATTTAATAAAACCGTTATCTTTTGCTTTTAGGGGATAAAATTTACATAAGTACACCCATACTTTTTATTGGGTTGTGTTTTCAAGTAAAATACGATACTTGAGCATAATATCTAATATTAAGATAATAGAAATAAACTAACACAAAGCAAGAATAAAACGCCTCATAGATTATTTAATTTTTGACAGTTGGAACACCATGCTCAATTAACCGTGACTCATTTCGCTCCTAAATGTCGGTGTACAACAATAATTAATTAATGAGCGGTTCTTTGTGTCCAATTTTCTATTATATTAAGTTTGTTATTTAACGCAACAATAGAAATGACAGAAAATAAACAAAAAAATTATGATACGGTGAAATAAATACGGCACTCCTGTTGTACATTCTCCTACCCTTATCCCACTTCTTCTGAACCTTAAGGCCCATTTACACGATGCCATTTTCTTGTACATGCAAGAGCAATAATTGCATGCAATAAATTGCGCGCAATAATTGGTTAGACCATTTGTTGTTTAGACCATGCAACTTATTTATTGCTTCAATTTAATTGTATACAACAGGCAAGAAACTGGCACCGTGTAAATGGGCCTTTACTGTTAACGGTATTGTACTGTACGGTATACCTTAATAACGGTCCTGTACGGCTAGGTTTCTTACAATTGCCCTCATGCTTCCTTGACGTCAACCCTTCCAGGGAATAAGCACTTGGGAACAATTATCTACGGGTCGCACAAACACCCGTCCCGTGTGGGAATCGAACCCACGCTCCCTGCGCTGAAGTCTATAGCTTAGCAACTGCGTCATCGAGTTATACTTTGCATGACGTAGATACCATCTATTTAATTAAATCTATTCCGTTTTTGCGGCCAGTAAAACGGGCAAAGTACCATAACGCATTAACTTTCGTGTTTAATAACAATATTGCGATAACAATTAGGTATATTTATGGACATTACACTATATTACGTTGTTTAAAAGCAATTATTGCGCGATATTGATTGCCCAGATCATTACAATCGGAAACACTGTTCGATGCATAGTGACTTAGCAGATGTTACCTTTATGATGTAGGCATAATGTGGTAAATGGCAAAGTAGACTGTACCTCCCTTCTCTTCTTTAATGTATCCGTTAAATGTTTGAGGCGTTTCGTCATAATCTATCAACCTGTAGTATCTACGAGTTATCGTTATTATGCATTTTGATTTTTTTTTTTTTTGCGATCTAGTCCAATTCTGAACAAATAATTCGAAAACGTAATACGTAATTAATAATAGTTAATTCAGTAAGGTACAGGATTTAAGTCGTCAGTAAGTTTTTATCTCTTTTTAACTAAGGTAACAGTAGTAAGCATAAATAAATAAAAGCTTGCGACATCGTATTAAGGAGCAATTTGAGTGGAACAGGAACTGTTAAAGTTACTTCGTAACATGTACAGTCTGTTATCTCGAGATACCTGTTATATTTACCTGTTACGATAAATACGCCTCACTCCTATTAGTCTATAATCTTTGAAGTTTGATCCATGCTTCTAATATTTGATTGAGAGTTTGAGAGAGCGTCTGCGCAGCGCAGTACCTGCCGGCTGGCTGCCCTTTGCTCAGACAGTCAAAAGTCAAACAGTCATGTCGCGGCCGCCAAGCGTGTCGCATGTTTCGGCCGCGTCACAATGAGACACAATGTCGCACCGTGAACCCCTCTTGCGTCATTCTGATAATCGGCATTCAAACGTTGAAAGCTTCTTTAAGTGAAGTTACCGGAAGATATCTATTATCTATTTGACGTGCATCAGTAGAGTTAGTGTGTAACAAATCTCGTGTGCGTTCTCTTTCACACTTGATGCGGGTTTTTGTGAATAATTTGTTCATCCGAGTGGGTAATAGACCGAAATGGATGACGCGAAGTACGCTCGCGTGCAATCCTACGGCAGCACGAGCTCGGCGCGGGGCGAAGACGACATGACTGTACGCAGCCAGCTGTTCCCCTACCCTAAGAAGATGGTGGTGGAGCGCGAGATGCTGTACGAGGAGGAACACCCTCCGTTCCAGCCGCTGCTCGCCACTTCCAGGGCACTCGGGAAGGCAAGGTTCACCAGCCTGCTGGCTCTCTACGTCCTGTTCTACGCGCTGTTCCTAGTTGTGGGCGCTGTGATATTTTCGATGCTAGAGGGCCCACTGGAAGACCAAACCCGACTCGAAGTCATGAGCGCCAAGCAGGACTTCCTCACTCGACATCCCAATATCTTAGGTACATTGTTATTGTAATCTTTCTTGTGTAACCGTTAAACAATGTTTGGTCTCCGTGAAGAGGCGTGGAAACTTGTTCGAAGTTATCAGATATAATGCTCAGAGGTCTCTTTTAACGATTTAAAGGAATTTGACGACAAAAAAAATCCCTAGTCGACCGTTAGAAGCTTTTATCTCCGTATCAGCCTTAATTTATCCCGTGTCATTCCGATTATTGAGCACTGCGGACACTGTTCTTAAACAAAAAATATGTTCGAGTAACAGAATGAGCCGTTATTCATAAACCAATACGATAAAACCGCCGTCTCGTCTTGTGTAAGCATTCTAAATTAGTTATATCCATTACCTACTGTCAAACCGACACGTTACAAATAATTGTATATAATTATGTAGTTTATAATCGTTCATCAGTATATTTTTAAGCAAATTGTCAGCCTCGTATGCCTTGTTGAGATTTTGAAAGTCATATTAAAAGAAGTCTTTATACTGAATAGCTTTATTGACGTCGTAGCGTTAATTACGATACCAATTTAGTTATTATAACAGCGTTATATTCTTCTTTTTCATATTTCATTGCGGTTTAACTATTTACGATGCAAAAAATTACTTCTTAATTCGATGTAAGACATATTGCCTAGTGGAACCAATTATCGTTATTATTACCGTATTGTATTAAATCGCTAAGGTAATGATTATATTTATTAGACAGCAGTCAATATTGTGTATTAACGTTGTATACCACCTTGTAGGCAAGTAATGTAATGTAGTCGAGAGCATTCTATGCTATCAAGTACCATACTTACCCAACTTCTTCAGGGCAAGTAAACACATAAATGAACATCTAGTCTTTATAAATTGTTCCTTAAACTCTAATAAATTTACATTAAATGATGATGACACAATATTCATTTTAAGGGCCAAGTGTAACAAGTGAAACTTAAAAAATAATTGAATACCGTCCAGTAGTTTTTCTGCAATGCACGCACAACTGATGAACTCTATCATTTTATTTATTATATAGATAATTTGTGGTCTATTCAGAACTTCTTTTTACCGTAAAATCAATAGTCATTACTTGTTTTGCATCGAAACGATGCGAATTCAATATTTCAAATTGCTGTTGCTAGACCGTCGAATGTAATGGGTTTAATTTCGATTTTCAATTTTGTTTCAACCAAGTTTCATTTTTCAAAATAATTTAAAACTTTAACAAGTAGACAAAGTAAAACTTCTTATACAATTACTAGTGACGGCGCCATGATTTCGTGAAAACGATTGTCAGTTCAAGAAAAATTAACTTCTAATTAACTAAAATAAAAACTCATAATTGCAGTACTAGGCGAAACGTCTATGGACAAAAATACCAATAGGATCTAGTAGTGGTAATGGATAGAAATGGCTATTGTCCTGTGGCGATAATGAGATAATGTGACATTAATGCGTAAGAAGTTTAAGAGTGAAAACTCGCATCATTAAAACTTGAAACAGCTATCATAGGATCGGAAAATTCCCCGACTTTTAATTATAGTACAGAGATAAAACTGATTTTATGACTGCTCGCAGTTGCCGAGCTATTGGCTTCGGCGCAGTGGTTCGTGGGTTCGAGTCCTCCACGGGACAAGTATTTATGTGACCCACAGACAGTTGTTCCGGATTGTAATATGGTTGTTTGTTCCCAAAGTTTTGACGTCAGGCAGACGGCTGATCATAAAAAACTAAGCCAAAAACCATTAAAATTACGATCCACGTGTTATGCCGACCCTACTTAAATTGGATAAGGGAAGGAGAGAGAAGAAGATCGAGATAAAATTGAATTATATACAGACAATCTTTTGGTCGGTTCATCTTAATATATAAAATTTGTTAAGCTTTCCGTATTTTTGACGTACATAAGAACAGGAACAAGTCTAAAGTAATAAAAAAGTTTTGACTTTAACTGTGGCTATAAATTACCTCGTATTCTTATATAAATTCTCTAACCGTTCTCCCCACACGCCGCAATTCAGGTTAATGGAAAGTCCATGTGAATTCGTGAATTCTAAACATATTTCTCTAACATTGTCGCGTACCCTTATCAAAATAACGTATCTGTAGCAACGAATTTCAATCGGACGGATCTTATTTACGTATATTACTTATAAAAGTGATTTCTTTTTACTCCACCACCTAAGAAGGGTGATGTCGAACGATAATACATATATAAGGGTGATACATATATAAGTGTGCATTTCTGTATTTCTACTTCTTTGTATGAATGATTAATTTATTCATACAAAAGTTAATGTATTACATAATTATGAACCTGTTATGCTTAAACGATCTGTGTCTAGTTTTGTTAAATGATTGTTATGACAGCTGGATACTCCATCTTTGTCTAAATAAGATACGTAGTTTATAGTACTTACAAGGTTAATCACGATTATGTGATATATATATAAGATATTTTCTATTCCCATTAAATTATACCTATATTACTTAAATTGTTTATATAAGCGGATAATATGTCACGTGCATAACATAACGCATTGCACAGTGGCTAGATTAGACAGTGCTATTAAACTGTAGTCTATTTGAAAATCACCAGTTTTTGTTGTCTATCTTAATCGAAAAGATATATACCTTTTTATTAAATTTAAATTTTTTCCACTGTGCACCGCTTGGTGGTTACGTCACGGCAATAAATATATAAATAATATAATTACATTTTTGTTGTATTCCTGTAAATATTATCGACTCGTCTTATAGCTCTCTATACAATTGTAAATATAACATATTCTGAGCCTTTCGCCATAATCCTAAATGCTTGGTAATCCGGTACAATAAGAACGATCTTAGTAAACTATTTCAAAGTCCTCCGAATGACCCTCTTTATTGCTATACGTCAATAAGGAGCTCCTGGCATTAGTTTATATTAGGATACATTTTATTAGGGCCCTTTTAACGAAACCCTTTTCAAGGGACAAGTTATGCCCACAAAAAAATGGAACAGAACCTAGATAGTAATAAGTGGATTAGAGCCATAAGAATTGACTTGAAAATATATCTGGGCTACATAGCTTAAAGTATATACAACATTTCCTCTGACAAGCTTCAAAATTTAAAATCGACATTATTTAACAAGATTTTTTATGATGCGATGTTTAAATATCTTGAATATTGTATACGTTATTTAGCAGTGTCGGATTAACCACGTAGGAAGAGTAGCAATTGCTACGGGCCACCCGCCAATGGGCGCCCCGCATGAATAATCCACTCGTCTCTGCCTTAGCCTTTTGTTTTGATTTGTACTTTTATATGAACACAGAGAACTTTTATTACATTTTTGAACTTTTTAAGATTAGACATGACCTGAAAATCATCTCATTCCACCTGTTATCAGAATGGCCACTAAAATAAATGCACCTTTACCCGTAAAGTACAATAACAGCTTATATAATTAAGTCCCTCTTATAACGAGACTTGATCTTGTGATTACTGCGCCCTCTGAGAGTCTATCAGCAATTTACAGACGATAAGTAAGTTAATTTGCGAAGATCGCTTTTGAAAGACTTATAAGACGCCACTAAAGCGCGGATCTTGATGCAAAATTTAATGGGGTCAGTTTGAAGCTTTTTTTTAATATTAAAAGTTTGCAAGCGAGCAGGCGCCGTCTTCAGAGGTCTGAATCGTCTTCACATTACGTGCCTCACTTATATCAGCGCATTGTTTCGTCTATACTTTTTTATTGGTCTCGGCTTTTCGTCCATTTTGTCTATAAGTTTTCATTATATTGAACTGTCAAGTAAATCGAACGTCTTTTCAAATGGGCAGCATTATACTACCCCACATCAATTGTTACCTTGGAATTAACTTTGACCTACCAACGCAGTATCCGCGACCCTCGTCAGATTCTTCGAGAACATTTAATAAAAGTATTTCTCCGAGAAATATATTATCAACACATCGATGGAATAAAAGAGAAATAAGGAAAAACAGAAAGTTAATTAAATTGCCGTAGATGAAAATGAATTATGTTTTATTCTGAAACATATGACTGTAATGTTTCCTTTAAAAAACCTTTAAAAAGTGCGAGTCGGACTCGCGTACGAAGGGTTCCGTCTGTAAAAACGGCAAAAAAATCTAGCTGTTGTATGGGAGCCCCACATTTTTTTATTCTGTTTTTTAGTATTTGTTGTTATAGCGGCAACAGAAATACATTACTGTCTCGTTTCCCCTTTGGGTACGGAACCCTAAAAAAGAAGTTTTAAATATGTTCTTTAGTTTTAAATAATATTTCCTAATTCAACCTACGACGCGTGATTTATTTGTAAGTATAATTATTGTGTTATAATAGTTTGCAATCACCTCGACCAATGGTTATCGGGGCAATAAATGAATAGATTGCCTCGTGTTGTCACTACATTGTAATTAATTAATTGCATTCATTTGTTGGGACATTGACGCGATATGTACGCGATAGTACCCAGTATTTAGAGTACTCTCTAATTTTGATAGCTTATCATTCAGACTCACTGAACCCTAGCCGCTCCTTTCTCGTCCCTGTAAAGACCTCTTAGCTTTTAAATTATCCCAGGTCCCAGGTTCAATTCTAAGCGAGTAAACATTAGATAGATGTGTTAGTTGACGTAGTTGAGATCTCGAGTTTAAATTTCTTCCTACTAAAGTAGTACCTAGTAGGAGGACTACAAGAGTTTAGTGACCTTGACTGATACCCGCACACATTCACACAATAGACGTGAACGCAGTTCGAAAACAACGGCCATAACAATTATCACACAAGGATTAGCACTAACGCTTTATCGAGGCTATGTCCGAACTTTCCAACAGATGGTCACAAGAAAATATAGATCTAACAAAAATAGAAAGAACAATGAAACGATATTCATTCGTTTTGTGTGTTACTTAAAAATCAATCTATGATAACGATTATTATGATTTTGTGGAAGGGGTTCGGTAGTACTCGCAAGTCCCAATGACCACTGCGATCTTAAATATCTATAT